ATGTATGATTATACTCGTGAGTATGTACTGGACTATCTAGTTTCTTTGATTTATTTAAGGGCTAAGAATGTACCATTTTGGCCACATCATAAATAGCTTTGGCAACCAGTTTTTTTGTCATCACTTTCTAAATAGAAGTGACTAGCTTTTTAAAATGTAAACTTTCTTTCTTTTTCTTTTCTTTTTTTTTTTTTAAGATTTTATTGGGGAATTGGGGGAAGGGGGACAGTGTTGGGGAATTGGGGAAGGGGACCAGCCAAGTTGTTGTTCTTCGATCTTCGTTGTAGAGGGCGCCAGTCGCCACCTGGCTGTCCATCAGCAGTTCATGGCCTCTAAGCTCAAGGTGCTGTGTTCAATCTTAGTAGCAGGTAGGTGTAGCCACCATCCCATGTGGGAGTCAAACTGGCAGCCTTGCTGTTAACAGTGCACGCTCTATCCACTGAGCCATCCAGGCAGCAGCTCAGATCAAGGTGCTGAGTTTGGTCTTAGCTGCGGATGGGCGTAGCTCACCATCCCATGTGGGAGTTGAATCAGCAACCTTGTTGTTAGGAGCACATGCTGTCACCAGCTGAGCCATCCTGCCACCTGCCGGCAGCTCAGCGACAGCTCAGCTCGGGCACAGCATTACTGGCCCATGTGCGAATTGAACCATTGGCCCTGTTGCTCAGAGCTTGGGCTTTTAAGCCAACTTTTAACCAACTGAGCCACTCGGCCGGCCCCTAAAATGTAAACTTTCAATTTTACAGCTTATTATCACAGAACGAGGCCTCAGCAATTTTTTTGCTTTTGGAAATTGAATCAAGGTCTTCTTTTAATATTGAATATGATCAATTTTCGTAATTATTTCTTGGACACTAGGAATAATTTCATATGCTTTATATTGAAGCAAGTTCAATAGAGCTATTCAACCTTAAAAATAATATAGTATAAAATCTTTCATATAATTATTAATTTATGTCTACTCAAGACTGGCTACATAATTTGCAGGGCCCAGTATAAAATGGAAATGTGGGATCTCTTGTTTAAAAATTATTAAGAACTTCAAGAGGGTGACAGCAGAGCATTAAGCCAAGCAGGAACCCTCCAAAACACAGAACCCTGTGTGCACAGGTCGCACACCTATAAAGTGGTCCTATGCCTGGCAGATCTGCGGTAGATTGATATTATGTGCCATGATATCAAATTACAATAGTATTTTTATTAATCCCCACTTAAAATATTAATAATTTTGCTTTATGTAACTTGATACTATTTTATTTATTGCATAATACACTATTACAATTAAGTCTCACCATGGATCAAAATTTTTATCCATACAAAATAATGACTCTTACAAGTGCTTTCTTTCCTTGAATTCTACATTTATAGTAATATTTCTCTCTTGGTATCTTTTTGTTTGGGTGTATTTGCTATATTTTCTCAACATTTTCCTCTTAAAAGTTTTAAAATTTATTTTCTACTTGTCTCAAAGCACAGAGTTTAAAGAGGCAGTCGCTTCTGTAAGGCTTGTTATGAAAACCAGTATTCCCCTGCCCACCTATGCACCATTTTCCATTCCACAGAGCAACCACTTTCAACTCTTTTCACTTTATGGGGCTGGGCAGTGGGGGTAGTGTTTGTCTGGATGGCATATTTTGTGACTCCTTTGCACTCCTGAGAATGACCTTCTGTTACCTCAAACATGAAGGACAGTCTGGGCCAGTATAGATGGGCGTGTGTGTGTGTGTGTGTGTGTGTGTGTGTGTGTGTGTGTCCCTCGATACTTCAATTGCATCCTTGAGAATGTCTTTCTGTTCCCTCACACATGAAGAGCAGCTTGACCAGTGTTTGAATTTTTGCACCCCAGCAATGTCTTCCTCAATACTCTGCATGTGATTTTTTATTATTTCCTAGTACTTAGGGTTGTGGGATGGCAGTGACATCCTGATTTCTCCTCTTTTCTAAGCAACTTTTAAAATCGCGTTTGTTTCTTAGATGCATATAAGTTTCTCTTTCTGTCTTTGAAATTTAAAACATTCTAGGTTCTGTTCCGAATTTTTTATAAATTCTGTTTGAAATGCAGCAATCAAATCCAGTTTCCAAACCTCATCTCCAAACTTTAAAGAAATGGTAAGTTTTCTTTTATGACAGCTTGATTATTATGCCTGATAATTTCATTCCCTAAGTTAACAGGTTGGTTTGCATTTCTTGTCTGAGATGCCAAGAAACACATAACAGATGTAAAAAGAATGAGAAACTCTGAGAGGACATACAGGAAAAAAGAAAAGCTTGTAACAGGGATATCTACCATTATTAGTCAGAATTATGTCTTTTAATAGCAGGAATGCTGATGACTAATTTTATTAAACATTGACTTATTGTAGAAGGAAGGAAACTTTTACCTTCAGGGGCAACACTTCTCTATTGATACCATAAAACGTTGCCATAGCACGTGTCCAAGACAGCAGACCAGCCACATTCCCACAGACTTTTTTGGCGCTTTCAAAAGTGTAATCATCCATATCAAAATATGGCTCCAGTAACTCAATCGTCTCTTCATTTATAGTGTCCTTGGGGAAATGCTGAAGGCTCGACAAGAAGCCTGGTGCACTCATCAGCTGAAAAATAGTATTACAACCTGTAAGTACTGAATGAAAAAAAATGCTTTTTTTCTGAGTTAGTATGTACTTCTGAATTGAATTTTTTTTTTTCAAAGAAGTAACAAGTGATTTGCTCTAAACATACAAATCAAGACTATGGCATTAGTAAGCCTAAATCTGTAAATTACAAACTGTCTTCCCATTTCCATGGTGAAAGAGTAAAAATAAAAGCTACGTAAGCTTCCTGTCAAGTGAACGCACCTAAATGCCACTGACCACACAGGCCTCCTTTTGGAGACTGGGTTGGGTTGACATCAAGGCCGCTTCTGAAGAGCTTTTATAAAAAGTTGTAAAACTTTTCCCTACTTACATTTTGGGGAGATGGAGATTAAGATAAATTATTCAATACACAGTGATTGAGTTTTGTCTGCCAGCTTGTCTGGTCTATATTAAGTATCCTGGGATGGGGGCACCTGATGCCCCTCATAGGCTTATAAAAATGGGTTTTACTTACTTTTAATGACTCTCCCCATGATGGCTTGCAGCAGGGCTTTTCTGGATCCATAGTAACGGGATCAATTTTCTTTTGCAATAGTAACAGAGTGCAGTCCATGATTCTCATAATAAGATGAGGGGGCTTTGCAAGTTTCCTGACTGTGGCAATATCATTTGGTTTGATAGTCTGTATTTGGGTTTAGAAATCAATATTGTTTTACTGAGTAGTATTCATAGTCATATGAAAATCTAATACTTTTGTTTTTTTCATTAGTTTCAAGTGTACAAAACAACAGAGATAAGACGTTTATATATCTCACAAAGTGATAGCTCCAATAAGTCTGTTACCCATCTCACATTGCACATCGTTATTACAGTATTATTGACTATATTTTTTATGCTGTACTTTCTATCCCCATGTCTATTTTTTTAATTATAGTTGACATTCAATATTATTTTATATCAGTTTCAGGTGTACAATATAGTAGTTAGACATTTATATAATTTATGTAATTTATAAAGTGATCCCTCTGATAAGTTTAGTATCTATCTGACATTATACAGAGTTTTTATAATATTATTGACTATATTCCCCATGCTGTACTTTATATCCCCGTGACTATTTTTTTTAATTAAAACTGACTTTCAACATTATTTTATATTAGTTTCAGGAGTACAACACAATGGTTAAACATTTATAAAATTTATGACGTGATCCCCCAATAACTCTAGTACTCATCTTAAACTTAACCCAAACACAAACCTAACCGTAACTCTAACCCTGATGCTTTTTCTGCATCTTGATATGATCACATGATTTCTATCTTTCATTTTTGTTTATGTGGTGTACCACATTAATTGATTTGCAGATATTTTACCAACCTTGCTTACCAGGAATAAATCCCACTTGATCGTAGCATATGATCATTTTAATATATTGCTGAATTCTGTTTGCTAATATTTTGTTGAGGATTTTTGCATCTATGTTCATCAGAGATACTGGCCTATAGTTTTCTTTTTCTGTAATGTCTTTGTCTGGTTGTGGAATCAGGGTAATGGTGGCCTCGTAGAATGAGCTTGGGAGCCTCCCTTCCTCTTGAACTTTTTGGAATAGTTTGAGAAGAATAGATGTTAATTCTTCCTTGAATGTTTGGTAATATTCACCTGTGAAGCCATCTGGTCCCGGACTTTTGCTTGTTGGGAGCTTGTTGATTACTGATTCAATTCCTTTAGTAGTAATTTGTCAGTTCAGGTTTTCTGTTTCTTCTTGATTCAGCCTTGGGAGACTGTATGGTTCTAGGAATTTATCCATTTTTTCCAGATTGGCCAATTTGTTGGAGTATAATTGCTTGGAGTAGTCTCTTTACATTTTTTGTATTTCTGTTGTGTCTGTTTTCACTTCTCCTCTTTCATTTCTGATTTTATTAATATTTATTTGGGTCCTCTCTCTTTTTTTCTTGATGAGTCTCATTAAAGGTTTATCAATTTTGTTTACCTTTTCAAAGAACCAACTCTTGGTTTCATTGATCTTTTGTATTTTTTTTAGCATCTATTTCATTTTCTGCTTTGATCTCTATTTTTCCTTCCTTGTACTCACTTTGGGCCTGTTTGCTGTTCTTTTTCCAGTTCCCTTAGATATAGAGTTAGATTGTTTATTTGAGATTTTTCTTGTTTCTTGAGGTAGGCCTGCATTGCTATGAATTTCCCTCTTAGGACGGTTTTCACTGTCTCATACATTTTGAGTTTCTGTGTTTTCATTTTCATTTGTCTCAAGGTATCTTTTGATTTGTCGTTGATCTTTGTTAACCCACTCATTGTTTAGTAGCATGTTATTTAGCCTCCATGTGTTTTTGTGTTTTTCAGGTTTTTTCTTTGTTTTATAATTGATTTCTAGTTTCATTTCATTGTGGTCAGAAAAGATACTGGTCTAGTGTGTCATTTAAGGCTGCTGTTTCCTTACTGATTTTCTGTCTGGAAGATCTGTCCATTGGTGTCAATGCGGTGTTAAAGTCCCCTACTATGATTGTGTTACTGTCAATCTCTGACTTGATGTCAGTCAATATTTTATATATTTAGGTGCCCCTATGTTGGGTGCACAGATGTTTACTAGGTGATGTCCTCTTGTTGGATTGATCCCTTTATCATTATTTAATGTCCTTCTTTGTCTCTTATTATAGTCTTTGTTTTAAAGTCTATTTTATCTAATATAAGTATTGCTACCCCAGCTGTTTTCTTGTTTGTTTCCATTTGTATGAAATATCTTTTCCCATTCCTTTACTTTCAGTCTATGTGTGTGTTTTGATCTGAGGTGGATTTCTTGTAGATGCCTGGGTCTTGTAATCTTATCCATTCAGCTACCTAAGTCTTTTGATTGGAGCATTTAATCCACTTACATTTAAAGCGATCATTGATAGGTATATAGTTATTGCCATTTTATTATTCATATTTTTAATCTTTAGTTTCTTTCCCCCTTCTTCTCCTTAAAGAAGTGCCTTTAACATTTCTTGTAATACTGTCTTGGTGGTAATGAATTCCTTTAGCTTTTTCTTCTCTGGGAAGCTCTCTATCTCTCCTTCCATTTTAAATGACAGCCTTGCTGGATAGAGTAGTCTTGGTTATAAGCCCTTGCTTTTCATCACTTTGAATATTTCCTGACCCTCCCTTCTGGCTTGCAAAGTTTCTGTTGAGAAATCAGCTGGTACTCTTGGAGCTCCCTTGTAAGTAACTAGTTGTCTTTCTCTTGCTGCTTTTAGAACTCTTGTCTTTAATCTTTGCCATTCTAATTATGCCTTGGTGTCGGCTTCTTTGGGACTCTGCTCTTCTTGGCCCTGTATGTTTATTTCCCTCACCAGGTTAGGGAAGTTTTCAGTCATTACATTTTCAAATAGGTTCTCAATCCCTTGCTCCCTCTCCTCTCCTTGCTCCCTCTGTTCTCCTTCTGGTACTCCTATGATGCAAATGTTGTTATGCAATCAGAAAAACAAAGAGAAAAACAAAAAAATTTTAAAAATGTGGACAGTTTAAGGAGCCTCTGGGACAATATCAAGCATACCAACATTTGCATCATAGGGGTACCAGAAGGAAAAGAGAAAGAGCAAAGAATTGAAATTGTACTTGAAGAAATAATGACAGAAAACTTCTCTATCCAGGCAAAGGAAATAAACATACAATACAAGCCCAGGAAGTGCAGAGTCCAAAGCAAGATGAACCCAAAGAGGCCCACACCAAGACACATCATAATTAAAATGCCAATTGTTAAACACAAAGAGACAATCATTAAAGGAGCAAGAGAAAAGAAGTTAGTTATCTACACAGGAGCTCCCATAAGACTGTTAGCTGATTTCTCAACAGAAACTTTGAAGGTCAAAAAGGATCAGCAGGAAATATTCAAAGTGATGAAAAGCAAGGATCAGCAACCAAGATTACTCTACCCAGATAAAGAGCTTCCCAGACAAGAAAAAGCTAAAGAAGTTCGTCACCACCAAACCAGTATTATAAGAATTATTACAGGAATGGATAAGAAACAAGCCCCTTATATATGCTGTCTACAAGAGACTCAGTTCAGATTGAAAGACACACAAAGACTGAATGCAATGGGATGAAAAATATATTTCATGAAAATGGAAACAACAACAAAATAGCTGTGGTAGCAATACTTATACCAGACAAAATAGACTTTAAAACAAAGGCTATAACAAGAGTCCAAGAAAGACCCAGTCATCCCACTTCAGGGTATGTATCCAAAGAAACCCAAAATGCTACTTCGAAGGGATGTGTGCACCCATTTCTCCATTGAAGAATTTTTCAATGGTCAAGATGTGATGGCAGCTTGGGTGTCTGCAGATGGATGAATGGATAAAAAGGAGGTGATACATAAATACAATGGAATATTGCTCAGTCATGGAGAGAATGAGATCTTGCCTTCTCTGGTAGCATGGATGGATCTGTAGGGTATTCTTTTGAATGGAGCATGTCAGGCAGAGATAGACAGGTGCAATGTGATTTCTCTTATATGTGGAATGTAAAGAACAAAATAAACATACAAAAGAGAAACAAACTTATAGATACAGAGAAAATTTTTATGGCTGCCAGATGGGAGGGGGGTGAAAATGGGGAAGGGGTTAATAAGTAAAAATTGGTTTTTAGAAAGTATTCATGGAGATGTAGGTTATAGCATAAGGAATATAGTCGATAATATTGTAATAACTATGTAGGGTGTCAGATGGGTACTAGATTTATTGGGGTGATAGATGGGAGGGGGTTTGGTGTCAGGGTGAAAACGGTGAAGGGATTAAGAAGCACAAATCGGTAGTTACAAAATAGTTATGGGGATGTAAAGTAAAGCATAGGGAATATAGTCAATATTACGGTGTCAGATGGTTGCTGGACTTATGGTGATCACTTTTCTAGGTATATAAATGTTGAATAACTATGGTGTACACCTGAAACTAATATAATATTGTATGTGTGCTATATTTTATTTATTTATTTATTTTTTTTTTTAAAGCTGAGCCATCCTGCTACCTGTTGGCAGCTCAGCGGCTGCTCAGCTCGGGCTGGACTCGAACCGCTGTTGCTCAGAGCTCAAACTCTTGAGCGAGCTCTTAACCAATTGAGCCACTCTGCCGGCCCTGTGCTATATTTTAATAAAAATCTTAAAAAAAGAAGTATACATAGCACATATATATGATGATATTCTAACTATAACTTGACTTAAACCTTTAATATGTTAATTGATAACAGTTCTAAAGTTTGAAGTTTCTTTAAGCCTGGATATCCCATAAGTTGAATAGAAAATGCAGCAAGAATGTACTTTAAAGTTTGATACCTGAATTTATATACTTTTAATTAATTGCTATTGGTAGAATAATTACTTTTGTCTTTTGGGATAAAATTTGCCTCACATTTACCTCACCTGTAATTTAGCCTTCCTATTATAATTATGTTCAAAATAGGTACAGCTTTTTGTTGTTTCAGGGAAACAAATATTGGAACCAACAAATACATCCTTTATTAATACACAATGTCTTACAGAAAAAAGAAGAAAGAAAAATAATTCAATTCAGTTCTCTGATTATATGTGATGAAACATGGCGCCTGCCAGGACTCGTGTTGGGAGGGATAAGCATACACTACTCACATTCAGGGCTGCTTCTGCTTCTTCCAGCGCAGGTTTAGCTGCCTCGAGTTTGCTCTCAGCTTTTACTTTTTCACTATCAATTTCATCCACAATTTTTTGGGCTTTATCTTTTACCTCCTGCACTTCATTTTTTACTTGGGCTGAAGCTTGAGCACTTACTATCACTTCTGCTAATACCTGTTAAATTGAGGAAACACATGAGCGCAAATAGAAGCCTTTGAGCAAAATTTACAGATTTGAGTAGTGAGAGAATATTTATTCAATATAATATAAAACATGAATAAGAGCAAATTTATTCCCCAACTAAGTCATCTGTATTTTAAGGTATATTAAGGTAACTCCTTTGAGCAGTCCCTGGCGGTCTGCTATTTCCTAAGCTTTCCTCAGGCTTAGAATACATAAGTAAATATTTTAAGCTTTCAGAAAAATACTATGTCTACTCTATGTAATTTCTAGAAAATTGAAATAATTCAAGTACGTGTAATGGGACAAGGTCAGAAACCAATTAAGCCTCATGTAATAACAAGTAAAACAGCTTATATTTTGTTAAGTGCCTACCCTTACTCATTTCTGCAACTGGCTAAGTGTCAAGACTTAAGTCTCTATTTTTAACCGACCCTCAGTAAATGGAAGCTGAAAACAGTCTGAGACTGGTGGAGTCAGAGATAAAGGAGCAGCACACATATATCCCTACCACCTTGGGAGGAGTATCTTTTTTTTTTTCTTAACTCTACCAACTCTTTCTCTTATTCTTTTCCCTGCTTGACACACACTTCAGATGACACTTGGGCCATCCTATACACCTATAGCATGCAGAGACCTTAACGAGAAGACCACCAATAACCTTTAGTCAAGAAGAAATTTCATAAAGAGATGACAGAGAAAGAGAGACAGAGTCAGAAGACAGAATAGTCTTAGGCCAGGTAGAGGATATAATATTTAGTTTATGCATGTCTTGGTATAAGTTAAACAGAAATATCTAATCGTCTCTGTGAACAATTTACCTTATTGACATAGTCTGTACATTTATACCCTGTTTATTTTTTAGTAACATTTTTAAGATCTGTTGTTTTTTTTAATATGGAAAAATGTTCCTCACCATTAGTGATAAAATTAATGCAAACTCACTTCATCTGTTTTCATGGAAGCCACTGCCAATTCCTTCTCCTTTACTGCAAGATCCTGAGAGAGTTTTGCAACGGATTCACTTGCCTCCATAAGCTTATCAAGACCTTTACAAACACACACATATACACTCTTAGTGAGTAAATGAACATCCCTTCATCAAATATTTATTCAGCATTTGCTACTTATAAGGCATCAAATAAGTACTACCACAAACACAACTATTTATGGACAAAGCTTTAAAAATACACATATATTGGGAGCAATAATTCTGAGAGTTTCAGAAGGGGGTGAAAAAAATAGCTCTGGTTGAAGAATGTCATTGAGATACATATGATACATCAAGGTATCATATTGAGTAACATTAATTTAGTCAAGGAGTTTAATTGACAAACTTATGCTCCCCTTGGTTTTGCCAACACTTTGTAGCTATCATGTTTTGCTTTTGAATCATATAGCAGTTGAGATGGCAAATGAGACACATAATCTATTAACATTTTTGTCATTATCTTTGCTATAAAAATGAAAATAGCTGCTGAAGCCTGTGCAACTGGCTCCGTGACTTTCAGAACTATAGAGCAAAATAAGTAACTAAATTTCTCACCTTCCAACTGGGTTCTAGATGGAGGTATTTTGGAAAATGTTTGGCATCTGTTTTCTTGAGGGGAAAGGGGAAGCACTCATTTATATGTTTGCCAATTTCCATGGTGTAAATACTCCCACCATGGCTGATTTCAAGCTACCAAGAGATTCTCAGTAGCACACCATTATATACTATTTCTACCATACAGATAGAAAGAAAATAACCTCAAGAATATTAATAATAGTAAAATAGAGTAAAAATAACTAAAAAGTGGCAAGCTTGGGGGTATTTATTGCCTTCATTTAAAATATTTAATTGTAAGTTTATATGATTTAATTTCTAATAAAGACTATGTTTAACAACCCGATCATAAAATTCCTAAATGTACAATTGGCTCTCATGAGCCAGTACAAACAAGTAGCCTCAGCACACCAATGATTCTGGGGCACCACGTAGAAAAGCTGCAAGGAGGTGAGCCATGAGAAGAACAGAAGGAGGTTCCTTTTACTGCGTTTCCATCACCACTGTAATTCCACCGACCTTGGAGCTCAGTTATGCTGTGTGACCAAGTTGTGTGTAGGAGAAATGAAAAGCTAGCACTAGGTGTTTTGGGCCAAATGGTTTCTAGATATATAATCTACTCTAATTTCTACTTTTCCTACTTATATTACATATACTGCACACTCAGAAAACCATTGCTCAGAGAAGCTCTTCTTGCTTTTATGTGTTTGTGTTCATTTCTTTTGTGCCTTTTCCTTTGTTAGAAATTTGAGAAGCATTAGCATGGCAAAATGAATACAAATCGAGGGAAACTGTAATGCAACCAAAAATTGAAATTGTGGTCAGTTCCCAAGAGCTGGTTTTCCTCATCTGCAGGTGGCAGCTCTGGGACTGTGGCGACTCGCTGCTCCACAGGGTGGGCTCAGAGTTCAAAGAACAGGGAGAAATAGCTCTAGAAAGAAAACAAGCCACCTCTGTTTAGATTTTCTTCTGCCCTGAGTTTCTTTTTTCTTTTTTTTAAATTAAAGTTTATTAGGATGACAACTGTTAGTAAAGTTACATAGGTTTCAGGTGTACAATTCTGTAATACATCATCTATGTATCACATTGTGTGTTCCCCACCCAGAGTCAGTTCTCTTTCCATCACCATATAGTACTTGATCCTCTTTAGCCTCATCTGCGCCCTGAGTTTCTTGACAGGACAAAAGAACCTTAGGAGCATTTCTTCAAAATAATCTATTACTAAAAATAAAGTTAGTATTTCATGTTCAAACACAGCAATATTCACCAAATAAAATATTGGAACCCATATCAAATGAGCCCTTAAAACAATTCCATTCTGCTTACCAATATCCATACGTTCAGCTTGTTCATTAATATATTTCAACTTTTCGGCATAAATGTTCTTATAACCATTTACAAATGAGAGATAAGATTTGGGAGTCACGTGCGTTCTTCGACGGTATCTGAAAGCAGAACAGAAAAATGGTCTTCGTCTCTGTCATTCTGGTGTGCTCACATACAACGTCAGAACACATGCTTTCCCCACTGGAAAATCAGTGTCACTCCAGAGCCAAATCAGGTCACGGGTGGGAGGACAGGAATTGTGAATGGTTTTCCTAGAGGTGACATAGAAAGAACACTAAATAACCAATGCTTTGGCCTCGTAGGGGTCCTTGACTCCACCCAACTCCATCCATATCCCACTTGGAGCTTCTGTATCCTTATCTGGAAAACTGAGAATCACGGCTTTATACCTGCCAGAATATTGTGAAGACAAAACATATATAAATGGCATATGTAAATACACTTTGTTAACTTTAAGGTTCCATACAAATATTAGGGAGAAGTGGTTGAAGTGAATTTGTTCTGTGATCTGCTTTCATTCAACTAGGAACCAGCTGGGCTCCCAGAGGTGAAAAGCAGCCTCCCCTTGACTCCCTGGATCATCCTTGAAATCAAGGCAGCCACATTTGATTCAAACATTCAACTCACTGTGGCCTTTACTACAGCAATTATATTTAACAATAGAAATAAATAAAAGAAATAATTTTATACAGGAGAATCTCAAGTAAAACAACTCACATACTATTCAAGTCATTTTACCTCTTATATTAATTTTTAAGTTTTGGAGTTCTGAAGATTTTTAACATTAAAAAAATGTTAAGGGCATTCATGTGACTATTATTAAAGTGTTATATAAACATTATATTCAGAATAAACTTCTACAACCTAAAAGGACATGAAAAATTTGAAAAATACACCAAATTTTTCAAAAATAAAGACACAGATTTTTGTGGCTGTACAGAGGTAAAAATTTCTCTCCAAAGGTGATGGTATCAAAAAGAGTTGAAGTGAAGTAGAAAGAAAATCTAACAGTAATAATTAATATTCATGAGTTCACCAAGAATATATGGGAGATTATCTTGAACTATTCAGGAAGGGTGGTCTGAATATAATTTTAGGTAAAGGGAATGGTCCAGGAAAAACAAACTTTTGTGAGCTTGGGACCCCCTGGAAAATCAATGAAAGTGTTACCCAGACTCCCTATGCAGAAAAATAGGCACAGTCTTTTGGGCAGTTTCAGCATCCCCTGAAGTCCATCCACTAACCCTAAGGGAGAAGTCCATTGTTCCAGAAATCCATGTTGGCTCAACTATATTCACATCTGTCAACTGTACAAAGCAACTATCATGCTTTTGGGGGAAAAAGTTATATTTTCAAACTGCTGACACCAGCTTTCACATATGAACCACCATTGCTGCTTTTAGTGAGTGGACTGTCCTACAGTCAATTCAAACTTTGTTTCATAATTATTTGGTGTAAAAACATGATAAAACATGCATGACTTGATAAGACTAAGTGATGCAAATGCAAAATCTAAATTACCCTTAACAGAAGGCAATAAAGAAACTTTAAAATGGTACACTTATTTAATAAAAATAAATGCATTTGCATAGGGAACTAATTTTAGACAGTTTATAATGAATTAGCTAAGTCATTCTCAAAAATAAATTAAGTAAATTAAATTAAATGATTCATTAAACATGTGTTACTTTGCGGTCTGAAGGAAAAGAGGTACTTAAGTATAGACACTAGTTAATTTTTAAATCTCATTTATTTATAATCTTTTCATTACATAATCACTAGAAAAATCAAAGCAAGAAAAAAATGTAAGTGCAGCTGGGACTTCGTGTTTAATCAATACGAAGAGTCTTTTACTGGATGTTCCATTTAATTCCTCTTTGGAGTAAACTTTGTGGTTCTGTAGTTGTCGTGCTTATGTAATGTCACTTACCTCTGGAAATAACTTTCACAGCTCTCTGAAACCATGTCATGGAAGAGACCCATTGTTTCCACCACTTGCCTTTTAGTCTCACTAGAGCAGACAATACTATAGCCTGAAAGGAAATAGGAGGCCACGGCCACCAGAGCCTCCTTCGGCCAGCGACTGAACCAGTCCATAGTGCAACCTGATATCAAGCCAGGAAATTTCAAAGAACGGGCGCGGAACTTCTCACCAACCTATGGACAGCAAAGTCAGAAAGCATTAAAAACACAAACATTATAAATCAGCTAGAGAGAGGTTTATGCATTCTGAGACAGCAATCTCAGAATTAAAAAAATATATATCGAGGGCTGCATTAATAAGTAAATTAAGTATCCAGGTGAAGGAAGGTATTTCTACACTCTTCTCTGTACTAAGACTACATCTGCATTCTTGGATTCGATCCTAGTAGTTACCTCTTGACAGGAAACTGACAAACTATAACTCTTCTAGACAGAAATGACCAGGAAAGTGAAAGGCCTGGACACTAGAACAAGTGAAAATAACAGAAGGACCGGGAGGTATTTGGTCTAAAAAGGAAATAATTTAGGGAGTCTGCAAAAACTTTCTCCAAGTAGCTGAGGAGCTGTATGTGGGAGAGCAGTTGGGTTCAATTTACATGACTGAAACAGAATCACAGGGGAAAAGACAGACACAAATTTCTATTGATTGTTGCAACAATGTTGCTAGCCTTTTTTGATACCAGGGGATTATTATGAATTTGTACCAACTGGACAAAAAGTTAACCAAGTTTACTATTTGGAAGTGTTGAAAAGGCTGTGTCAAAAAGTTAGACGAAAATGACCTGAACTTTTTGCCAATAATTCTTGGCTCTTGCATCACGACAATGCACCAGCTCACACAGCACTGTCCGTGAGGGAGTTTTTAGCCAGGAAATAAATCACTGTATTGGAACACCCTCCCTACTCAGCTGATCTGGCCCCCAATGACTTCTTTCTCTACACAACGATAAAGAAAATACTGAAAGGAAGACATTTTGATGACATTCAGGACATCAAGGGTAATACGATGACAGTTCTGATGGCCATTCCAGAAAAAGAGTTCCAAAATTGCTTTGAAGGGTGGACTAGGCACTGGTGTTGGTGCATAGCTTCCCAAGGAGAGTACTTCGAAGGTAATCATAGTTATATTCAGCAATGAGGTATATAGCACTTTTTCTAGGATGAGTTCGTGAGCTTAATTGTTCAACGTTGTATGTGTTTTCCAGTATGCTAGCCACCAGCCACATGTAGCTGTTGAACGCTTAAAATGGAGTTACTGGGACTGAGAAATTGGCTTTTATTTTTACTTAATTTTAATTAATCAAAATTTAAATGACCAAACATGTCTACTGACCACTATATGGACAGTGCAGTAAGCTACAGATAATCAAATGTACATAAGGGACACACTAGATGGTATGTCTATCTAGATTGCAGGTAGAGCTGGACAAAGGTTATATAACCAAATCCCTTACAATTCAAATCTGTGTCTCTGGGTAATTAATAAAAGTTGTAGGCTATGCTATAATTTCTAATAAGATGGATATGTTTAAATCATTATACTTTGTATGAGATTTCAGTCAGTGGGGCTTGATGGTAATAAAGGGTTAATTTTATTTCAATGTAACATACATGTATTAGTTTCTGAGCCTATGAGAGAAGGTTCACAAACTATATAAGTACATGTAAATAAGTAACTCCTCCTACACAGACATAAATAAAATAAAAACTCACTGGAGAGAAGCAGAGAACAACATGCAAGTTCCTCCTCGACCTTGAAATGAAGTACTCATACAGATTATCAAACGTCGGAGGATGGCGAGGCAGCTCTTTCTTCATCACCGAGATCAGCCCTTGGGTGATTTCATCCAATTCATCCCGTGCAAACAAATTGGAGATCTTTGGGGAATAGACAAGAAAGAGTTCTGTATTTTATTTACTTAAAAAAAGAGATTTTTATTAAAATATAGCTAACATACAAATTATATTAGTTTCAGGTATACACCATAGTTATTCAACATTTACATACCTAAATAAGTGATCACTGTGATAAGTCCAGTACCCATCTGACACTATACCACGCTATCACAATATTATTGACTGCATTCTCTATGCTGTATATTACATCCCCATGACTTATTTGTTTTATGCCTGGAAAACTGAAACTCTTATTGCCCTTCACCTTTTCACCCTTTTAAAAAATTTTCAATTACAACTGACATTCAATATTATTTTACATTAATTTTAGATGTACAGCATAATGGTTAGATATTTATATAATTTACGAAGTGATTCACCCTGACTAGCCTAGTATCCACCTGTAGGCCACTTATATTTAATCTTTAATATTTATGGTGAAATTTACATTTACCACTTTGCAATTTTTTTCTTTATGTCTCCTGTTCTTTGACTGCTTTTTGTGTGTTAAATATGTTTTTAAGGAGTATAATATTCTGTTTATTTTAATCATGTTTTAATCTGGGAACTTGGCTCTTGGAATGCCTCTTTCATTGCTAATTTATAAGGTTGTTCCAGTGTGCCTAGACTACTGATACAAACTTTGGGATATATGCTGAACATCTACATTCCTCTGGGAGTCTGGAATTTTGGCAGTCGTGGCTAGGCAGGGAGTCACTACACAGCCCCCCTCCCAATAAAACTGTTGGGCTCTGAACCTCAAACAGGTTTCCCTGGAACAGAAACAGCGTGCATGTGCTATGGCGCGTCGCTACTGGGCAAAAAGCACATTCAGTATGGCCCCTTTGGTGAGCACGCAGGAAGCCTGCACATGGGTTTCTCCAGATTCCACCTGATGTGTCTTTTTCTTTACTGATCTGGCTGTGAATCCTTACTGTGTTGCTTTAATAAATCTTAGTCGGGATTACAAGTATATGCTAAGTCCATGAGTCCTCCTAATGAAGTACCAAGCATGTGAGTGATCTGAAAAGTGCTGATACAAGTGGCATCAGAAATGGTGACACTAATAGTGACATACAGCTAGCGGAACTCTTTCAACCCTTCTATATACCTAACTACTAGATGGATGGATGGGTGGATAGATAGATAGATAGATAGATAGATAGATAGATAGATAGATAGATATTTCACTCCTAAAATAAATTATAGGATCAAATTAAAGATTAAAGAGAAAATAAGCCATCAAATTTAAAATGGAACAAAGCACACAAAAAAAAATCTGGAAGTAGGCAGCATTAATTTGAAAGGAACTTCAAAAAACTTACCAAATCTCATATCATTTTAGAAATGAGTCATTTCTAAAATGAAAAATGTGTGTAAATGGCCTCTCTTGCTGAAGGTTGCTGAAGGGCTGCTGCTTTTTCTATCCAAATATACTTTACATTTTATAAATATGAGCTTTTTCTCTGCATTTGAGACCTACCTCCCCTGAAGATAGTAGGTTGTTAATATACTCTAGAAATGCCTCATCTTTTATTTCATTGTCAGTAAAGATGAAGGTAATGCCTTTTCCATCAGCACCGGCAACTTTATACAAAGATTTTAAGTCATCTATTAGATTATTCACATTATAAGACCTAAAAAGAGTAGTGGTAGAAAATTTAAAGTTAAAAATATAAGTATAGTCATAATTTACCTCAAAATACAATATAACCCATGATGATTAGAGCATAATTTGCTTCTGCTCTAAGAGATATTAAGTAATAATACCTGATAAAAAAAACACAGTGATTAGAGTGAAATAGCTGTATGCTACAATTCAAAAAACGTATGTTTTGTTGAGAAATGAGAAATGGGGGATTTACCAGAAGGGAGTCACGAAGAGTAATTGGGAATTAGGAAATAAACTTTTCTTCCCTGCAATCTGACAGTCCTCAGCAAAAGATTTTTCCCAAGGGAATACATGTATAATATCTAAAACCAACCTGAAATTTGGATGAGTTTAGATTGGTAAAAAGTCAAGATAAATTATAAATAAAATTAGTGATAAATTATACATAGTGGTAATTTGTGCATCTCACTAAGTGGCTTGATACAGACAAAACCTAAAGAAAAAAAATATGCCTTATGCAATGAGATATAAATAATAGAAATGTTCTAGTGAGTTGTTGGAAAAGTCATAACGCATTTTTGAAACGAAAAACATAGAAAAAATACATCATGACTTTTCCGACAACCCAATAATTATATGATTATAGATTTTTGAAAAGAAGATCTTGGTTTCTGTTTTTTCTATTTTCTACTAAATGTGTGTGGTATCAGAGGTGATGTGTAAAAATAAAGCAGACATTTTCTGAAGTGTTGTATATAAATCTTCATGAGTAAGTTGATGATAAAGACTATTAAGAAACCCTCACTTAAAAGAGGTTTTACAGTGCAAGTAATAGGGAGTTTCATGTATGCCATAGGGTGTAATGGAAAGACTACGGGCATTAGAGGACCTGGGTTCCAATCCCCATTCCAAAGCTGTAGAAAAGTTCCTTCACATTTCTCAGCTCTGTTTCCTCATCAGCAAAATGAAGATAAGACCTATTTTTGAAGATTGTTGTGGGCATTAGAGATGATGTAGTTTTTTTTGTTTTTGTTTTTGTTTTGTAGAGGGCAGTGTCATTGGCCCTCATATGTGGGATCCGAACCGGGGCCCTCTGGCATCCCAAGCCAGCTCCCAACCATCGCGCCACTCAGCCGGCCCTGAGATGATGTAGTTTAAATGAATGTATAGCTCATTTTAAAACCAGGAGTATTAGCTACCCTCTTCTGGGTGGCATTACAGTCAAAAGTCTTACAGACCTCAGGAAATGGGACTCCATCAGATAGAGAACATACATCCCTTTCAAAATAATTCCCAAGAGGGAAAGTCATTAAAAAGAGAAACTGGTAAGATGGTTTGCTGAGACACAGCTACACCTGTGAGAGCAACACAGCCCACGTCCTTCCTGCAGAGATGCTGTGGCCCAGTGCTGTCAGTGGAATCCTCTCACTGGCCAGTCTCTGAATCCACCAGGCAATGAGCTCACAGGGCCATTTGGGCTGTTTTTGTTTCTTTTTTAATTAAACTGACTGTTATGTATTGTTTTTGTGCTATATAGATACAGTCAGAACACACCCTTCTCTGGGTCCTGACCCCTCTCTCTTCTCTTTCATAGCTAAGCTTCTTGAGAAGTTTCTAAACTTGTTATCACTGCTTCTTCACTTCCTTAATATAATGTGACTTCTGCACCCATCCACTCCACTGAACGTTTTGACACGTTGACTATTATCACTTTTTGTGCCTTAGCTTAACATTTTCAGGTTAATTCTTTACCCCCTTGGTTTCTGAAAACCACTCTGGAATTCTTCCTCTCTGGCTTGCCTGTTCTTCTCACCCCATCTTGCAAGCTCCCTTTGTCTATGCTAGGAGACCCCAGAGTTCTTTCCTCAGCCATCTTTTCTTCTTACTACGCACCCTATTCATGCTCCTCATTCCCTTAAAAGTGTTCTCTCCACTGAGGCTTCTATACTTTTATCTCCAGAATCCTCTCCTGAACACCACATCCATGGGTCTAATTACCTATGGAAACTATGCATTTGGCAGACATCTCACACTCAATGCATACTAAACTAAATTCTCATTTTATCCCTTTAAAACTGGTCACTTATTCATTTGTTCAACACACATTTTATCATGTTGGTTAAAAGTACCCACTTTATAGTAAAGGACAAGACAGAGGTTACAATGGTCCATCCTCACAAAGCTTACAGACTAGTGAAAAAGATAGAATTGTGAACAAGCACGTTATTTTAACGCATTGTGATCAATGCCACTAGAGAAACTGGGGTGTAATGCTAGATTTTTTCTTCTTTCCCCTTCTTCACCCCATATCCTATCGATTGCTAAGTCTTATCAATGCTACCTACTTTAAACTGCCCCACTGACTCCTTCTCTGTACTCGCACGTTTCCTGTTGTTCTTACAATCTATCCAGGATTCCACTTAATCAGGTATTGTCACACATGCACACGTGGAAAGGACTGTCATAAAGCAAGAAGTTTATACTTACAGATCTCTAGAAACAGAAAGAGGCATGCCACACCACATAGGGCCACGTGGGGAAGCACCAGGGTTGGTCAGGCAGCAGGAGTGAGGGGAAAGCATAGGCAAAGACAGCCTTTATTGTAGTTTCCATGAAAAAGGCAAAAGCAGGAAGCTAAGCAGATTTAGGATTCATTAGTTTGAATAATTTCAGCAGGCTCTGGGGCATAGATGCTGTCCCTAGTTGACTGGGGCAGAATATTGCTTCCTGGAGCATAAAGCCAGATTGAGGCAGTGGTTCAGAGTATGAACTCTAGACTGGTTGGTTTACATATGAAAAGCACATTTCTGGGCCACCCTTGGGAGGAGCAGTCTCTCCCCAATCAGCAAGGTCCCAGTGCCAGAGCATTAAGAGTACAGAAAACAATAAAATATAATTAACACACATGTCTTAATTTAAGCCTCTGTCATTTCTAACTACAATTACCATAATACCACCTACTCTCAGATCACAGACTCAGATACCTACAGGAATAAGGCAGGTAATGCCAATGAGTGAAGCAGGGCTGATGGGGTCTCTGGTAAATTGCCGCATGGCCTGTCCCATCTAAGGAGGCAGCTGCTGCTCAGCTCAAGCACCCTGGGAATGTAGGCCCAATGTTGCCAGATCTTTCAATTATTTTAAGAAAAGTCAGAAATATTTTTGTTTGATTTTTCCATGAAATCTTCCAATTATTAAATGTTGACCACTGACTAAATTTAATTAATCTTTAAATATTTGATGTTTATGTTTTTAAATATTTTTTATGTTCCAGTTACAGTTGGCATACAATACTTATTAGTTTCAGGTGTACAACACAGTGATCAGACATTTATATGACTTATGAAGTGATTATCCCAATAAATCTAGTACCCATCTGACGCCATACAGTTATTACAATATTATTCACTATATTCCTTATGCTATACTTTACATCCCCATTACTATTTTGTAACTACTAATTTGTACTTATTAAACTTTTCCCCTTTTCCACTTATTCCTTCAACCCCGCCCCCATCCCCCATCTAACAACCATTAAAATGTTCTTTGTATCTATGAGTTTGTTTCTGTTTTGTTTGTTTGTTTATTTTGTTCTTTGGGCTCATCTTCTTTGGGACTCTCTGTGCTTCCTGGGCTTGTATGTCTATTTCCTTCACCAGGTTAGGGACATTTCTTGTCATTATTTCTTCATTATTTGTCATTATTTCTTCAAATATGTTTTTAATTCCTTGCTCTCTCTCTTCTCCTGGTACCCCTACGATGTGAATGTTGATACACTTGATGTTGTCCCAGAGGCCCCTTAAACTGTCCTCATTTTTTTGGATTTTTTTCTTTTTGCTGTTCTGATTGGGTGTTTTCTGTTACCTTAGCTTCCAAATTGCTGATTTGATCCTCTGCTTCATCTAATCTACTGTTGATTTCCTCTAATTAGTCTTTATTTCAGTTGTTGTAGTCTTCATTTCTAACTGGTTCTTTTTTATGTTTTCTATCTCCATTTTTATATTGCCTATCTCTTTGTTGAAGTTCTACTTTATATCACTGAGCATTATCTTTAGTTCTTTTTCTGGAACTTTGTTCTGTTCTTTTATTTGAGACATGTTTCTTTGTCTTCCAGTTTTGGCTGCCTCCCTGTGTTTGTTTCTATGTATTACGTAGGGCTGCTATGTCTCCTGGTCTTAGTAGAGTGGTCTTGTGTAGTAGGTCCTGTGGGGCACAGTGGCACAGTCTCCCTGGTCATTTGAGCCAGGTGTTCCAAGTGTGTCCCTTGTGTGGGTTGGGTGTGCCCTCCTGTTGTAGTTGAGGCTTGGTTACTATTTGCACATCAATGGGAGGAATTGATCTTCAGGCTGATTGGTTGTAAGGATTGGCTGTGACTACGGGGGGGGGTAGCTGTTGTGCAGGGGCTGACTCTACAGAGCTGTATTCACTTTGGCAGGTCTCTGGTGCCAGCCCGGGCTGCCCTTTGGGTGTGTCATTTGTGGAGGTGTTTGGATGGTGCTCTGGTTCAGTCTGAAGCTATCCACCCTGGGTGTTGGTTCAAGAGCCTCTTGGAAGGGGCCCTGGTGCAGGCCAAGGTCAGCCATTGCCTGTGCCCTGCCCCAGGCCACTTGGTATGAGCTACAAAGTAACTTACTGATGAGTGCCACTTGTGCTGGGCTTGAAGGTGCCTGGGAGAGTCTAAGCTATCAATTGATGCTAGCTGCCTCTAGTGCCAGATTTGAGGCTGCTTAGCAAGAGGTATGAGGCATACTGAAGCCAAATGCTGCTTGTTTGCATTTTTTGAACCTTTGAGAGGTTTTAGGAAAGTCTGAAGCATGAGCCAAGACAGGCCACTTGTATGAAAAGCCACTGGAAGTGACTTGGGGGGGCCTGAAAGTTGGGCGGAGTAGGGTCTCAGGGAATCACCAGGACAGGGCAAATTGTGTTAGCCAGGTTGATGGAGACTCAGATATGGTACTCACCTGTGTCTTCACACTGGCTAGGGTGAAGGCTCAACAAAGGAACAATGGCTTCTGCCAGTACTTCTGTCTGGGAGAAAGCTGCCCCTCAAGCTCTCGTTTTGAAGCCAGACAACACAATTCCTCCCTGTATGTCCCTGGAACCTTTCGAGCTGCTGCCCCAGTGATGGAGCTCAGAGGGAGTGACTCCATTGGCTAGCAAGTCCATGAGCAGGCCCTTTAACGGGAACACCTGGGACTCCAGGTACCCTCCATCTCAGTAACAACCTCTGGTGTTTTTCACAGCCAGAAGTTATAGGGACTTCTCTCCCCAGCACTGGAACCCTGGGCTGGGGAACCTGGTGCGGGCTGGGGCTCTTCACTCCTCAGGTGGGACCTTCTCCACAAGCCTAGATATTCCTCCCAATTTTTAACCACCACAGGTAGGTGTGGGGTCAGCCCGTTGCTCAGCTCTGCCCCTCCTTCTTGTGTATATTTTTAGTTATAAGACTTCTATTCAGCTAGACTTCAGGGAATTCTACGATTGTTCTGTTGTTTAGTTGTAATTTTGATGTGGTTGTAAGAAGAGGCAAGCACAGCATTTACCTACTTTGCCATCTTGACAAGAATTTCCCAGATTTCTTTGCTGTTTATGACTTTAAATGCTGTTGTAAGTTGTACCTTGTTAAATTTTTATGTAGTTGGCAGCAGAGTGGTATGTATGTATGTGTGTGTGTGTGTGTGTGTGTGTGTGTGTGTGTGTAAGTTGGAAAAGTGATTTAGAATGTATACAAAAATACAAAGTGCCAAATATTCAAGACAATGTTGAAGAACAACAAATTTGTTCAAAACATATTGAAAAGTGACAGTAATTAAAACAGAGAGTAATGGTGCAAAAGATAGATAAATAAATCAGTGGAATAGACTATAGTCATATATATGATCAGTTGATTTAGGGGAGAAACTGACACTGATGTGGCAAACAAAACAAAATAAACAAACAAAACCTTTTCAGTAAATGAAGCTGGATCGATTGCATATCTATATTGAAAAAACTAATCTTAATTCCGACTTCAGACTTTATGAGAAAATTAATTCTAGATGGGTTACAATTTTAAATGTAAAAATAGTAATATTGGGTTGTTGGAAAAGTCAAGATGCATTATTGCAACGAAAAACATAGAAGCACTATGCCGTGACTTTTCTGACAACCCAATATTATCTTTAAAAGTGAAGGAGGGCCGGCTGAGTGGCGCGCC